TTTCACCAATCTCATATTCCAGTAGGGTATCCATATGTAAATACGTACAAATGACATGTCCCAATACTGAAATAAGTTAATATTTTGTACTAAAAAGTACAGATCAATTTACTATGATATTTCAAAACAAATGTTAATTAATAGAAATATTGCTGTCCCTAGGTTAGCATACATTTAAATGGTCTGCTGATTGAATACGCCATGCTCCATAACTCCATAATAATTTGGTTATCCAACATAAGATAAATGCACATTAAAAGTTTATTAACGTAATATTGTACATAATATGTACATTACTCTACAAGTATAATGTTTACAAATAGCACATGCGCACCACATGTATTTAAATTTATAAAGAGTGTACACAAGCAAATTATATTAACATTATATTATTTTTGTTGCTATTAGAATATTTAACCCATCAGAATCCGACCCTGGACAATTAAATATTGGATACGAGAGTCACGAGAAGCCCTGGGAGTCAATATTATGTACTCCACTACTAGTATGTATATTCTAACATTCCTCAATTGTATGCACATTATGTATATTACATAATTTTGTTAATGTATATTACATATTCAGTAGATAAACATAATAATGAAGTTTTGAATTTCTTAGAGAGTATAGTCATTACTTATAATAGTGAAAACTTATTTCACATATTTGATGTCACGATCATCACATGTTATTTAAGACACACCTGATAACTGCATACCATTTTCGCATCAAACGGTTATATTTTGTATCGTTAGATAACCATTTACAGACAAACACAATACAGTAATAAGGTACTTTTTCCAATGATGTTTTGAACAATTATATAGGTGTATTTTTAGAACACACTTAATTTGAAACGGCTTTCGATTTATGTTTTGCGTATTTAAGAATCTAAAAAACTGGTAAAACTCTGATAATTAAATTAACTTTTATTTTATTTTAAAAACTTCCAATCGTCAATTTAAGCTCCTTATTGTGTTTGTGTTTGTGAACATAAAAAATTGTCATTAGTAATGCACCTTGTGGTGACACTGCTTTAAATTATAATGCAAGATACAGACTTGTTTGCGGATTCAGCAAAATTTGGTCGTTGTTGTGGGAGTGGTGCATGTTGGCGCGGCTGTTGATATGCATACGGTTGTTGTACTGCTGGTGCTTGCTGTTGTGGTTGTTGCTGGTTTGCATACTGTTGTTGTGGTGGTGGGGCTTGATGGTGAACAGGTTCCATATTTGCTGCTTGTTCTTTCTGACGTTGAATTTGAGGAGGTGCCTGTTTCTGTTGGTGTGTTGGCTTTCTTTGACCCAACTCATTAACCTTGAAGAACAGAGCTCTGTCGTCAGCTGTTGTTATGACAACCCTGTTTGTCTTATGCAGAATGTGAATGGCATCAATTGGAGAGTACCCCGAAATATTTGTAAGTAGTTCTCCACTTCTCACACTCCAAGCTTTCACATTCATCTCAGACGTGGCCGCGGTCAAAACGAATTGGTCATCCGCTGTAATTTTAGCTTTCATCACCGTGTTTGCATGACCTTTCAGCTCATAAATTAGACGTAATGATGTCATATCCCATATTTTAGCTGTTTTATCATTTGATGCTGTGACAAAGAACTCATCTCTGGAAGAAAGATTTATTTCTGTGAACATGTCTTCATTCTGATCATCCCCACCTTTCCCATGTGCCAGGATTTCCTTATGAAGTGTACCACTGCCTACATCATACAACCTGATGAAACCATTCTCCCATCCAGTTATAAGTATTTTCTCATTTTTTGAGACCGCACCACAAATACAATAATCTCCATTTTTATGATCATATATATCTTTACCTGTTTTCATATCCACCATAACCAGATTATTGGAACAGGGCATCATCATCCTATTCCCGCTCAACAAGAAAATATTCCCTGGTCTGGAATCTGGATCATATTGTTTTAAATACCACCCTTTGTTAATATCATAGAAGTATAAATCATCAGCATAGCTGTCACCACCAATGAGGATGCTTAGACTTCCATCGCC